CATTTGCAGGGAACGTTTTGGCACTGGAGGGAATCAGACGCGAATGAATAGTTCGTGAGGCCTCTTCCATTGTGTCGCCAGTGAAATTCGGCTCGCAGGGCTGTTGCTGTAGTATCCGTCGCACGACGTGAACAAACTCCCTGAACACAACATTCCGCCTCGCCTCGCCATCCTTCCGACAGCCTCCATCCACCATAGCATGTCGTTCCACGCTCTGCCGCCAAACCCGCAGCTGCATCTGCAAATCCCACAGGGATGGAGACAGGGGCTTCAGTAATGACATTATCGGCTGCATGTGCAGCTTCAAGGACTCCGTCACAACGCCACCTCTCGTCGCCGCAGCGCACAAAGTGGGATGAAGTGGTATCAAAGGACATGACAGGCTGCTCAGGACACGCTGAGCGGCATCCAACACCGCGGTGCCGCAGCCACCAGCGCCGTTTTCGCCAGCTGCAGAACTGTTATCGATAGCATCTGAAAGAAAAAGAGCATGTGCCGCCTGAAACGCCTTCCATCGCTCACGGCGGGACCATAAAAGTCCACATTCCGCAACTTCACGGAGAATACTACTATTACCACTACTACTACAGCCACCACCACTGCTATTCATACCGTCACCAGGACCATACGTCCTGCAAAGATAAAGGTACCACTCTTCTGCCAGACGTTGCGGTAACGGCTCCGGTTGTAAGTGATTCCCATCCTCCGATGCCATCCTTGGCAATTCGCACTCTTTTCGAAGCAGCAATGACAACTCATGAAGTGCCGCGTAAAGAAAATTCTGTGCCGCCTCAAGAGGTACGCCGTGAAACTTCACTAGGAGTTTCATAACGTCATCAAAGCATGACGAGGTTGGCGGAGCCAAACAGTCTGGGTGGCCGCAGCAACTTTCAGCAAGTGGGAATCCGGTCAGCATAAACTCCAGTGTCAGCACGGCAATATTCCATGCGTCGTCCGAGTAGGAATGAAGAACGGCGGCGACATCCCATTCGTGGGAGACGTCTTTGTCCCGCAAACGCAGACGGACAAACCACTCTGGTGAGATGTACGGCACCTGACACGCCTCCAGATCTTCAGCCGTATTGTCAAAGAACGGCGCATTCAGAGACTCCGCGTCCTCAATGCAATAAATAGACGTGGTGTCATTGTTAACACTATCGTTCTTGGCTGCCGGAAATCCATCGCGGGGAAGGGCGCCGCTCCTCCCAGTGCCATTGGGCCCACGTCGTGATGCCGTGACAGCAACCTTTTCTTTCCACACACGCAGGGAGCGCAAGAAAGAAAGCAACGGAACACGGATGGCGTAGTGACGCAACGTCGTGATACCCACCCGATGCGGGAGCAAAGGTCCAAAAGCGAGGTTGTCTCCTTCCTCCTCAAAAGCCGTTTGTGTGTCATCGGTCACACGGCTCCCGCTGCAAGACCCATTTTTGGCGTGCCTGCCGGCGTGCCCCCGCTGTCTCTCGCAATAAGCGTCACGCAACGAGGGTGGAGTGGAAGGAAAGGGCGGAAGTTGCGATGCATCACCATTCAGATCTGCGGGTGGAATGCCTTCGGCATAGACCCCCATCAGCCGCTCACGCTGCCTCCACGCCGCACCGAGTAGAGCCCATAAATCGCACCAAAGTCTCGTCACCATTGTCACCGGCGGGGACTGTCGCAGCACCACACGATAATGCAAGAGACGATCCGACAAATTCAGCTGCACATCTTCCTGCAGCAACAGCCAATAATTGCGGTGTCGCAAGATTTCAATGGGAGCTAGTAGTCCTCGAGCCAGCTGCTTCATGTCCTGCAGAATCTGTTGATAGCGTAGCGACTCCGAGAGGAGAATCGGGTGTTTTCCGGGTTCACGCAGCATGAGATCCCACAACTGACCCTCCACAAAAAAAGGGGCAGATTCCGACCTATCGGTGGTGTATTTCCCACCATTTGTCTTCTCTCGTTGCAACTGCAGTAGATGCACACGGAGCTGCGTCCTCTCTGCATCCGTCTTGTGACCATATTCCCGCGCCAAAAATATGGTGTCCCGATAATTCTAGAGGCACTGCTCCACCAGCCTCGTTGACACCGACGTGGTAGACAAATACGGCTTTAGTGCGTGTGGAATGTGATGTGTGGAAAAAAGAAAAACGCTCACCCCATCATTGCCACCATTTTTTCCCACACGCCGGCCTTTGCTCATGTGGCTACTGCTAATAAGCCCCTCGTTGGAGTGCGAGCTTCCTTCTCTCCTGTTCTCCCCCTCATCAAGCGTCGTCATCAGAAGGAATAAAAATAAAAATAAAATTCACTTCGTACGCTATCGCCACGCACACCCGCGGCTCACCGCGAATACTGGCCGCTGCCAATATCGTTTCCTGGCGCTTCTACCAATGCCACTCGTGAAACCTCCTCCTCTCTTTGTGGCAGAAAGAAAAGTGGGAGGGCTCTTGCTTCAAGACGACTAGAGGATAGCAAAAAGCAGGGGTAAATAAAGTGGTGGGAAAAATCAGATGCATCAGCAAGAAGCTAAAATGACCGTCAAAAAAAAATGATGAAAGAAAAAATATATTTTTTTTTTTAAGAACAAAAGATGTTCGCGCCTTTCCCCTCCTGTGCTAACTTCTCAATAAACCTCTAAAGAAAAAGCAACGCAATGCGATGCACACGGCCACACGCCAAGGAGCACATAGACACACACACACACATGCACTTACGCATGTATTTAAATGTGTAAATTATGTAAAAGACGCATTCAGGCGGCTACTGGAGGGGCCTTCAATGCGGCCGCCTCCGCCTCCTGCTGCGCCGTTTCCTCCTCTTTCATGAGTTCCTTCCATTTCTGCGCAACGAGTCTTTTGGACTCAAAGTACACATTAGAAATAAGCATCTTTCGAAAAGCGAGACTCGTGTTAAGCACTAACGCGTCCACCTCCTTGAGAAAATCCTTCAGAGCGTCCTTGGCAAGCATTAGGGAAACATCATTCTGTGAAACCTGCCCAGAGAGTAACGGTTCCCGCCCAATCTTGGAGAGAACATTGCTAAGCCTACCATCGCTCACATTGTTTAACAGTAGATTATTCGCGGCGGCCTCCACCTGCGGAAGCATGGAATCTGCAATCACTGTAACGTCCCCGCGTACACGTCGCAGAGCCCCTGTGCGCACTGTATCAATAAACGTTTCCTTCAACTCCTTCTGCTTGCCCGGGTGCTTCAGCTCCATAAAGCTGGAGCAGCGCAGCTTCAAGATCGTCGCGACATTGTGCTTTTCAGTCGCCGGATCCCCACGATGCACGTGTCGGATGACCACGCCCTCCGCGAGATTCCCCTCCAGCGGGTAGTTGCCAAGGCCCAAAAGTGCCGGCAGAGGGGTGTGGAAGTTCTCCACATCAAACGCCAGGCATGCGTCAAGGGTCCCGCGCACAAGTGCTTTGGAGTAAAGCAGATTTGGAATCTTGGAGCAAAACTCCACAAACTCGTCGTATCCAAGCAGCACAAAGTCCTCCTCCGCCCCACTCACAGAGTACTTAATATCAAAGGCAAAGAAATGTAACTCGGGGCTGTACTGCGGGAACGCCTCCCGTTGAATTTGGACACCGGCGATGGGGAATCGCTTCCCATTCGGCATTGTGCACCACTTCTCGCTCGGGGGAACAAGGGGATGTTTATACTTCGCACCAAAAAGCTCGCCATTAAGAACGACGCGCCCAATCCGACCTAAGCCGTACTTTTGCTTCAGTAAGTCGCTTAAAATGCGGATTTGGGCAGTGAACTCGTCAATGAGGATGTGGTACCCAAAGAAGTTCTCGTTGGGGTCCATAATCCCACTACGCTTCGCGAATCGCACCACTTCATTGTCGCCAAGGTTGATGAGATAGATACCGAAATTGGTGCCATGCACCTTCTCGCAGGCCACCCAATCTTGGGCGCCGAGGCCGCTCTTATTTATCGCCTGAATGCGGCTCTCGCTCGGCAAATCAATTTCAATGTAGGGAGAAAAATCACTCTGGTCATTCGGTAGCGGCATATACGTGCGTGTGGCCACAGCAAAGGTCGTCGTGCCGTGCATCACACTCCTGCCAAAAAGAGAAAAGATGGAGGAAGGCCGTCGAATCCACCCCCTCACCAACGCCACTCCCCTCATGAATAAAACGGGAAGATTTTCGCCCGGCGCACTGCTCGCTACATGAAATAAACCATGACAACAACAGAGATGCACAAACAGGCAGAGAAAAAAAAAAAAAAACCGAATGAATCCAAAAAAAAAAAAAAAAAAAGGACATGTGACAGAAAGAGGCCAAAGAACATCCACTAAGAAAGTCAAGCCAAAACAAACCAAAAAAATGCGTAAAACAAAAAAAAGAAAGAAATAAATAAAAAAGTGTCTTTTGTAATTACCTCATATCAAATATTACCAAGCACAACAGACGACGGAAAAAAAAAAAACTTGAGATACACGCCCCTGTCCAAGACCCTGTCCCCTATTCCTACAAAAAAAGACACGCGGAGAAAGGGAGAGAGGTTGTGTGTGTGTGTGTGTGTGTGTGACACAACGGGGAGTGGCAGTTTGGCCCAACACCCCACACACTACGAAGTAAATTCATCCAACACTCACACACCCGTGAACAAATGAATGCATGAAAGTTGTGGCAGTCGGGCTCCTTGTAAACTCACAAGGTGGGAGTCTTTTTTTAAAAGGGCCCGCAGCCGTTGGACTCCCCCTCAGCGTGGAGGGCAACAGAGAAGGTGGTGGTTGTGGTGGTTGTGGATGGGACGGCAGAAATAATAATAATAATAACTACCCATCGTTGCCTTCCAACGTGATACCCCTAAAAAAAAAAAAAAAATTTATTTAATATACCAAAAGTCAAGGAAATTAAAAAGGGCAGTCGCTATCATTTTCGTTATTCCCCTCTCCTACGCTTCCCCCCACCCAGCACCAGGGAGTTTAGCTGTCATTTCTCTTCAAAAAACCCACAACCGGAAAAAGTAATAAAAGCAAAACGGAATAACGCCGCTTAATCCACAACGGGTCTCACCTCCCAGAACTTCACTCGTCCACGGAGGCACAAAGAAACAAAAAAGTAACTCCTCCCGGCCCCACAAGCGGCACAGCGAACTGTTGGGTCCGCGTGCAGCGCCACAGCAAAAGCTGGTTCTACTGGGATGGCGTTGTCTGCCCACTGCGATTCGAAAGACGCAGCATTTTTGTCGTGGATAAGGCACCCAGAAAAGCATTCCTGAAGAAATGATTCAAGTGAACAAGCCTCTAGGGGGTTATTACGGGCATCTACAGAAAGGGATGTATCTGAAAAGCAGAGAGGCCAAAAGGAACTTCGACTATCGTATGATGTGGCAACCAATAGATGACCTCTAGAAGGAATTGGTAGAGCGCAAAGGTCGCCTACCCACGAGCGATGAAAAAGTCGTCGCGTCACATGTACGAATCCCTCCCTTACAGCCTGAGAGTATGCGGGGTACGACACGGAAGGGGGAGAAAAAAGTAATTCCGAGTTCTCCGCTAAGGACGTATTCTGATCCCTGACAGCGGTGCAATCACCGTTTTTCCTCCCGTCGCTAAGGTATGCCACCTGGCACACCGTGATGGAATCATCCTCGTTTGTGACCACAAGAAGGTCCGGATAGAGAGTGGCGTCGGCGTGGCTGGGAACCCATTGCACAGCCAAAAAGTCACCGACAGAGTGATTTTCAAGTGCGGTCACGTGGCACAGCTCAACCTCCATTTCGGATGCCTTGACAAGGCGTATTGTTCCCCCGTCACAGGAGACCGCCACAAGACTACTCTCTCCATCCACAACAAGACTCTCCGCAGAGACACACACCGTCATTGCGGGAAAAAAACCCTTCCTCTGCCGTGTCTCGTGTGAGGCAAAAGATGCCTCGGCATCCTTCGGCCATAACCGCGTCAAGAAGTGTGGCACCCGCATCGATATCGCTTGCACGAGTCGATTTCCAAAGGATGAAAAGTGTTTGCTTATCCAAGCCCCCTCCACTGTCACACACACAATGAGCACGTGCCCATTCCCAAACCCCACGGCAAACACGGAAGGTGGCCCTCCCCGCGTATTTACGTATGGAACCGTAAAACTATTTTCACCTCGCGCCCGACACAGCCTTGCACAATCAACCACAAGGGCTAGGCGTTTTTCAATACCGCACTCCACTTCTGTGATACATGAGACTGGAGCACTTACAA